AAAAAGGAGACACTTAAAACTTCCCTAAAATGAAGGGAAAAAACCATGCTCTGCAATTTTCTTACAAAGGAAAATTTAATGTTAGCTGGGCTGTTGAACCAGACGAAAGCAGACAGAGGTATTAGATATGGTGTGGCCTGTAAAAACACCAGTTTTTAAGTACTGACTGGAAAAGACGATCCCCTCTACCAGAATACGCAGCCCTGGGAGGGAGATTTCGGCCCGCTGAGGGTGAGCCGCCGTAAGGCCCGAGCCCAGCGGAGAGACACAGTCCGGGTGCTGGTGGGGTGCTGGCGACCGTGGGTAGCCCTTGGGGCGGAGCTGTGCCCCCTGCGGCGGCGCCACCCTCGGGAGCTCTCCGGGCAAACAGCAGCTCCTGGCAGGGAGGGCTCCCAGGTATAACAAAGCTGTTACACAGTTGTATTCTGAATAACATTTTGCATTTTAATAAAAAAACTTCTGTCAGGAAAGTCATTTACAAACCTTGAAGTGTTTTTGCCTGGATCTGGAGTAAGAATGTCTTAAGAAGAGGTTTGTAAGGTCTTCATAACAAAGTGTTATTTACAAAAACAAAAAAAGGAACAGGTTGTCTGTGTAATATTTAAAATTTTGCTACCTGTCTCTGACTGCAGGGAATCCCTGCCAAGGTGACTTGACCAAGTCGGCATCGTCCTGGGGACAGACAGGGAAGCCTCGTTGGGCCTAATGGTCCGAGGCGGGTTTTCAGCAGGAAGGACAATCGGAGCGCGAGTGCGTCCAGTGGAAACTTGAGCCCTCGTTCAAGTGCATAGAAAAGCCCTCACGGGAAACACGGCACGGCACAGTTATGGAGGAAGGCAACAGCGTGGTCCACGCGCAGCCCGGCGTTCTGCGCAGAGGTGGTCGCTTTGCTCCCTCCAGCCCCCCACCGGGGGCCCCTTGTCTCTCAGGACAGACGGCATCTCCAGTCCCCGGGGCCAGGAGCGGGGGGACTGCCTTTACCTGGATGGTTCCTCCCGCGCCAGAGCCGCCCCTGAGGCCACAGCCTGGAGCCCCCGGGGCAGAGCGGCTGGCCTGGCCACCTCTGGGGTGGTCCCAGGGGTGCAGGAGGCA